CAATTTCTTTAGCATCTATTTCTTCCTTTAATTACGAAATCTAATGATTTGTTATTTTATATCTCCTTTTGATTTCAGCAATTTCGTCTTGAGTTTCTGATAAATTCTTAGAATATTTATTTTTATGCTTTCTTACTTCTTCGTACAAATGCTATTAAGCTTTTAACTTAGCTTCAGTTTCTAAATTTTTTTTCTAAAATTCTGAAATAAGATTATCCTTTAATTTAATTTCTTCAAGTCTCCTAAAATATTCTTCATTAGCTTAGGCTGCCTATTTTCCATATCTTTCTTTTTCTTTTTCTAATTCAGAAAGCTGTTTCTTTAATTGTTCTAGTTCCCAAGCTTTCTCTTTGATATCATTTTCCTTTTCGTTTATTTCTTTATCTAAATTTCTTATTTTTTAAGCTTATTCTTTATTTCTTTCATCTGTTTTTTTTAAATGTTTTTATAATTTATCCTTTAACTATTTTAACTCTTCTTTAAACTACTGATCCTCATCATTTAATGTTTTTGTATCTTATACTTGTCTTTCTAATTATATTACACTTTATACTACTATTTTTTTGTCTTTTTCTGCTATTTAGTATAGATTTACCATTTACTTATGATAGTTCTATAGTTTATTGCATTCTTTTTATATTTGATCTACTTTAGAATACAATTCCATATATTCTTTTTCTTTCCTTTTTATTGTTGCTTCCAATTCTATTTTCTAAGTTTCTAATAATTTCTTCTCTCTTTTTTATCCTTATTCTTCTTTTAATCTATCACCTATTTCCGCATTAATTGCTTTTATTTCTTTATTATAGTTTTATGCGTCAGTTTGTATCTTATTTTTTTAGTCTTCTTACTAGCTTATTATTTAAGCTAAGTTTTATATATCAGTTTCTAATTTTTTTGTATTTTCTTTTTCCATATCAAAATTTTTTTTAAGAATTTCAAGCTCATCTAATTTTTTTTTTATATATTAAGGAATATTTATATTTAATAAAGAAACCTTTAATTTTTTTCTTCTTTCTTCATCTTTTGCTACTTTCTCTTTAATTTCTTCCTTCTATTTTTTTTCTTCTTTCATTTTTATTTCAATTATCATTTTCTCATTTTCTATTTGTTTTAATTTATCAACTAAAAAATTCACTTTATTTTTTAAGTCAAAAAGATCTGATTGTAACTAATTTCTATCTTTATTTTTTTATATTTAATTTCATTTAATAATAAAAAAAGTACCTTATCTATATTATTAAAGTTGCTAGGCAAGTTTTTCTGCAGTGTCATTTTTATACATGTTAGGGTTATTCGATTATTCATTAAGAGCAGTTAAATGTTTTATTTCAGTATATAAATTTTCTATCTTTTATTTTGATTTTTCTTCTCTTTCTTTTGAAGTTTCTAATACTTTATAAGCTTTTTCAAGTTCATTTTTAAGAAGCTAGATTGTATTCGTATCTTCTTATGTTAATTTTAAGGCCATTTTAAGTTTTGCTGCATGTTATATAATATCATCATTCAATTCTTTTATTTTAGATAGTAATTTCTTTTCATTTTCATATGAATTTTTTAGTGCCCTTTAAAGTTTTTCATATTCAATTCTAAATCTTTCTAAGCTTTGCTCTCCTGCAAGTTCATCTATTATCTTTTTTATTTATATAATATAAAATTTATTTTTAAATATATATATACTCTCCTAAAATCGTTTTCTAGTTAATCAAACACTTATTAACCAAAAGAAATGTCTTCGTGCTTTTTTTTTATAATTTTGAAAAACTGTATTTATAATGTTAATAAATTACTATATCCATTAATTTTCTTGTTAATTTAAAATATTTATTATTTAAAAATATATATTATATTTATGTTTCAAATGAAACCGAAAAATAAAAAATCTCATAATTCTAATTTTAAAAAATATTAATTAAAAGAAAATTAATTTTAAAATAATAAATTTTGGATTTATAAAGTTTCTTCAATTTATTTAATCTAAAAGTAATGCATATTTATTTAATATTTTAACATAATTATTCTGGATTTTAATTTTTATTAATGATATGCATATTAACTAATAAATAAATAAACTTAAATATTAAAAAATTGATTTTGTGCAATTAATTATTATTTGGATAAAATAATTTTTTATAAATAGAGGAAAAAAAAAAATATAACAACAAATATAAGATATTTTAAATATAAAATCAATATAATTTATTAAATTAATTATATATTTTACAACAATTACATTTCAATTTACTTTTTCTCAATAAATTGTTTATATGATATATAAAGCTAAATATTAATTAATAACATGAATTAAAAAAGGACATATATTAATTTTTTAAGCTAAATGAACATAAAAAAGGTAAAAACAAATTTATAATGCTTATAAATAAATATTCTTTTCTAAAATTCTACTAACAATAAAAATAGGGCAAAAACTATTTAACAAAAAATTATTATTTAATTATCAATTAAACTTCTAAAAATGAAAATATATAAAAAATAAGGAATTAGAAATATTTTTTTAAAAATAACTATTTTTGAGCATTTAAAGTAAATTAAATAAGCTATATATACCTAAGATTCCAATTAACTTAAAAAGAGTAGAACTAAAACCATTATAGTATAAATTTCCCGAAATTTTGTTTAAAGAATATAACGTCCGGTATAAAAAAAAAGAAAATAGGCTCCTAATGATAAAAAAATAGAAAGAATTTACAAAATTTGTATTATTTTACATTACTTTATTAATAATATTTAAAAAATAATTAAAGTTTATTTTTTAATTTATTAAATTTATATGATAAAATAATAATTACAATATTAATATTCAGCTTGTTATTGATATAATTAAAACTTCACTAATATATACAAGTCTATTGTACTAATAACATTCATAAAAAATATATATATAAAATAGATAATAACAAAAAAGGGGGAGGGGGTATATATCTTTAAAAATAAAATTCCATATTTTTGTATTATAGTGTAAAAAATATTTGCTTAGATGTACAAATACTACTCGTTAAAATAAATCATAAGCAAAGTTCCAAATGTTTAAATAAAAAAAAAAAAACAACTAAATATACAAATAATAAATTAAAATAAAAAAAAACAAAGACTTTTAAAAAATTATATAAAAATATTATATATATTATATATAATAAAATATTAAATTTATTTTATAATATTAATAGAATTTTAATTTTTATATTTTATAATGCTTTTTTTATAAATAATATAATTTTTTTATTAATTCTTTTTTTTGTTTTTTGATTTATTTCATATATTAAATAGTGATTAATAAATAAAATTTTAGTTAAATATCAAAAACAAAATATATAAGTATAGATGTAGTTATAGCAAAATAAATTTAATTCCATATAATTATATATAGTAAATATATTTTATGCAAAAAAATATTAAATTAAAATTGATTTTATATATGAATAGTAAATATTATAAGAATAAAAAGTAAAATGAAAGATAAATAAATATATTCAAATAAATGTAAACAATATTATGCTAAGTAATCTAATTGATAAAAATATAAATATATATATATATATATATATATATATATATATATATATATATATTAGTTAAAAAGTCATAATATATATATTTTAAAAAATATTTATAAAAACATATATTAAAAATACTATATAAATTTAATTAATAAAAAGAAAAAAATATATTTAAATATATATATATATATATATATATATATATTTATTTATATTTATTTATATTTTTTTATTTATTTATATTTTATATATATATATTTATATTTTTTATAATACTTTATAAAAGAATATTATATATTTTAATTTTATACTTAAATAAAAAAAAAATTAATAAAATTATAATTTTAAAATAAATTTAATAAAAAATGTTAAAAAATTATATTTTATAAATGATTAAAATAATCAATTGATTTGATAATTATAAAATAATTATATATTATAATTTAAAAATTATATATTATATAAATGTTTTTTTTTTTAATTTTTCATTCTTTTTTTTCTTCGAATTTTTCTTCATTATCTAAAGGCTACAATACTAACCCAGTTTAAGAGGGTACATCAATATGAATACAAAAAGGTCTTACTAAATCATTATGGACAATCTATTCTACAACATCATATTTAATTTTTTTTAATCTACCTTATCCACCAAACTATTCATCTTCTGTACTTAAGACAATATTATGACAAGATTTAAATTTAGTACCAACCTTAATATTTTTAATATCCTTTTTTTTATTTTTAATTATATTTAAAAAAATTAATTTTTTTTGTTACTTAATCCGAAAAATTAAAGAGAAAAATGCAATCAGATCTTTCAAAAATAAGTACATTTTATTATTAATCAAATTAAGCAATATTTTTTTCTTTCATCGATAATATTTGATGTTTTTCTTCAAATTAAAGTAATTATTTATCATAGTTACTTAACAAATTAGTATTATCATTATAAAAGTATGACTTTTTTTTGTTTTAAATAAAAAAATATATAATAAAATTAAATAATAATATATATTATTTTTTTTTAAAAAAAATACTTATTATGCATAAGAAATAACTAGCATTTTAGCAATTTTTTAAATTTTCGGATCTTAATTTTAAAAGATGATTTTCTAAAGTAAATTTTCATGTGGATATTTATTTTAAATAGAATAAGTTTATATAATATCAACAATACTATTACATTCTAAATTAATGTTTATTCTATAATCAAAACCAACACCCCCATCATCTAATAAAGTTCCCAAAGTAGGGAAATTAGTCTTTTCGGTAAAAAATGTACAAGAATTCGAGTTTATTTTATGAATTGTTTCATTCGCAATCATAAGATATATGATTCCATCAATATTAATATTATTCTCATTAAAAAAATCTTCGAAAGAATTAATTTTTATTTCTTAACTATTTTTATATATTATTTTTTCTATATCAGAAAATACAAAGCCATCGAACTTGAATTCATAAATAAAGTGTCCTAAACTTCCAATTAACATTCTTTATGTTTCGAAATTATTAAAATCAAAAAGAGAATCATTTTCTTTACAAAAATACTTCAATAATTCACTATTTTATTCACTCTCAGTTTATAAAATATCCATTATAACATAAATGTTTAGTTCATGAGCATAATCTATCAATTATTTTAATTCTTTAGCATTTCCAAAATTTTAGTTTATCAAAAGAGGATGAGAAAGTTTATTATTTTTAGAATTTTGAACGTTTTATAAATACAAAGTATTATATCCAACTTACTTTATTTCCTCTAAATTTGCTTTTGTGAATGTTTTAGATGTCTATTTTTATAAATCGACTTAATAAGGTTTAAATACACGAGGTTTATGTGGATTATTATTTTTAAATTAAAATTGTTCTTCAATATATAACTCTACGTTTGGAATTGCTTATGATAATTACTTTGTGGAAAATTAAAGTACTTATTTTGGTTCTTATTCGTTATGTTATTAAACAAAAAGAGTTAATTAAGCATTATTTGAAAATTATATTTCTATTATTTTATAATAAAATAATTATTAAAGAAATTTATATGTTTTTTTTTTTATTTACCATTGTTATATGCCAAATTCCATATCCCATTATCTTATTTTTATAAATTTAATTGTTAATTAATTTAATCACTTGTTAAAAATACTTATTGAGCTGTAGGAGCATAATAATTCAAAAAATATTATCCTTATTAGTTTTTAGAAAGACCTAGTTATTCATAATTTCTAGAATAGTTTTCAAGAGAATGCTCCATTTTGAAAATCTAAGTGAGTTAACTTATAAATTTATTCTATATTTGTTCTAAAAACGGTATAAAATCATTTAATTGAGGTAAGTATTCATATATTTTAAAATTTTGAACATTATAATCATAATTCAATATTGAAGAACTTTTGTATATGGGACAAAAAGAAGATCTTTTTTTAACTAAAGTCCTAGATCTTGTTTTTGAAGCCATAGAATCATTTGAAAGATACATTTTTTTATATAAATATATATATATATATATATTTTTTTTTAATTATAATTATTTAATATATGATAATTTAAAAATAAATCTTGATATATTTATTACAAAATTTATTTTATTTTATTTATTTTTCTCTCTTTTAAATATAATCAAAAATATAAATTTAAATAGATATATATATATATATAAATATATATATATTTGATTATAATAAGAATATACATATCCAAAGAATTTTTTTTATTTTTTAAAAGGAATATAAAAATTGCTATTTAAGTAAAAAATATCAATAATTTAAATATCTATTTATACATTAATTTAAAAATTATTTATATTATTTTATTTTTAAATTAAAAAAACTAAATATCTATAACTTATTTTATAAAAAAAATAATTTAATTATTTATAAATATATATATAAAACTTATAATCAATTACAATAAAATGAATTATTTTTTTTATTATGTTATTACATTTTTTAATTTAATGAATATTTTTTTTAATATAACGAAATATTCTCGGCATAATGAGAATTTAATTATGATAAAATACCTCTTTAAAGAAAGTTTAAATTTTATTTTTTATTGTTATTTTATTATTACTAAACAACTTTAAAATTATTCTAAGGAATTTAATTATTATTGTTTCTTTTGTTATTTTATTATAAGTTTATTTCTGAGTATTTTTCGAGAGTTTTTATCTGATTTCTTTCATCTTCATTTAAATTAACTAATAGTATATTTTAATTTTTGAAATCCTTTAAAAAATAGGCGACTTCATCTTTTGTAAATTTATTTTGATTTTCAAAAATACTTCCTAATTTTACTTTAAATTCTCTAATTTTTTTCCTTACATTTACATACGAATTTAACTCGAACTCTTTCCCATTTAGACATGAAACACTTCTATTTCCTTTTTATCTTTATTAAATATTAAATTAATCTTCACTAGTATTCGAAATTTAAGATATATCTTCAATATTTAATTATGTATTTTTTTATTCTAAATAATTTCTTTTTATCCAAAATCTTATTATTTATCCATTAAAATTTAGGAAACGGAATTAACTTTTTAGTTTTTGCTAGATTAAGGCTTACTAATTTACATTTTCTATTTTTACTTATAGACTATCAAATATTAAGTTTCATTTATATTCTTTTTATTTTACTAAAATTATTAAGATCTATTTTTTATTTGCAATTTTTCTTACAAATTATTACTTCTGTTTGTTGATCTTTCGCTAATTATTTCTTTTTGTATTTTCGGAGTTATTTTTTTTCGTATAATATCTTAATTTGCTTCTTTCGTTTTCTTTTGTTTTTTTTTGTTTTTTTTTTTTTTTTTCATTAATAAAAAATAAATTTTACTAAATTATTTATTATTTCTTAATTATCTTAAAGTTGTTTTGTTTTTTAGTTCAGTTCTTCTTACATTTATTCCATTTTTTTTGTCATTTATTAAATCTATAAATCCTTAAAACTCTTATTATCTGAAATCTTTTCCTCAAATTACTATTAAGACTAATAATGGTTGAAAGAATTTGTAATTCCAAGCATTTTCTATTACAATTCTTTTTTTTATTCTTGATTTTTTATCAATTTCGAATTTAATTCTTATAAAACCTCTTAATTACTTATAATAATTTATTCCCTTTTTAATATTTCTTTATGTATTTCGCCAATACTTTCTTGATCCATAATTGGATTTATTTTTTCTTTCATTTCTTAAATGAAATCTTCGGAAATTTTATTAAGTTCTAGTATTTCATTAATAGACATTTTAATTTCCCAATTTTCTTCTAAATTTTCGAATATCTTTTATGAAATATCATCTAATAAGCTACCTTTTTCTTATATATTATCGCCACAGTACAAACTATTATTAGAATTAAATTAATTAATAATTTTCTGTTAATTTATTAATTATAAATTTTCATTATTTTTAACGGCCAATTAATCTTTTAAATTTTTTATTTCCAATCTTAATTCTTATATTATGTTTTTATATTCCCATACTCCTTATTCAATTTTTTCTTCCTCGTTTCTTTTTACTGACTTCTTTATATTTCTTGCCCTGCTTGCATATTTTAGAGTATTTGCTGTTTCATCATAACACATTAAGCTTCCACTTATGCATGCAATCATAATACTTTTTGTATTTCCTCCCAAAGAGTCTTTTAATAATCTTGTTAATTTAGAATCTCTATAAGGCACGAAACTACCTTTTTTATTACTATCAGATAATAAGTTTATACAATTTCCTAATGCAAGTAAACTTTTATTTATATTCGCTCCTTCAGTTTGCCTTACTCCTCGATTCTCAGATGCTGCAGCCCTCTCTGATCCTGCAAGATCTACAATACATAACTTAGAAGAAATTTAATTTACATTGTCACTTCTTAATGTATTTATTTATATAATAGCGTGTGATCTTTATATTTTTTATTTTATATCATTTAAATAATAATAAATATATATATATATAATTTACCTAGATGAGAATTAATTAGCTGCAGTAGAAGCCATTACCCTTCTTGTGTTTCCTTATAAAATAAAAGATTTAACTTCGTTTTCAGTTTCAAGTTAATATTCAGTTAAATCTGGAACAAAAACTCCTTTGCAAGGATCTTCAATAACCATTAAATTTTCACTTTTAGAACACATTAAATCTCTTATTTATTCATTATATATTTCCAAATAACTGAATTTAAATGTTGTATTTGTTTGCTTACCACCTTATATCAAATGGCGTAATAATAATATACATATACCTTCTTAACTATTAGTTTAATTATATAAATTTCCGAATGTTGTAAATGATTTTCCTGCTCCAGTCATTCCATAAGCAAATATTGTTGAATTATAACCATTTAATGTATGGTCTACTGCATGATATATTCCTGTCCTAAATAATTAGTCTGTTGTTGTATTTTCGTTAAATACGTGGTCAAATATAAATTATTTTTCATATTTTTTTTGATTTTGAATTATTGTTTATTATGAATTTTACTACTCTCTTTAGTTTATATCTTATGGATCTATTAAATATATCTTTTTTTTTTTTGATACATTTTTTTGTTTTTTATTTTTTATTTACTGTATTTTCATGCACTTTTACTAGGCTTTATTATTTTTTTTGTATTTAATACTGTTCTTCTTTTTAATTTAAAGGACGAATTCTTACACAGACTAAAAAATTTTATTTATTATCATCTATTGTATTTGTTTACATTTTATTATAAAATTTTTTATATTTATATTAATATTTTTAAATAGAATTTTTTTTTTTTTTTTGAATAATATTTTTAAAATATTAACTAATATTTCGTAAATTAAAGTTTTTTTAAATAGGTTTTTTTAAATTGATTAAAAAATAAATTTATTATTTTTACATATAGTTCGAATTAAATTTAAAAGATTTTTTTAACTTTTAAGAATTATATTATTTGCATTTTAAAAATTATAAATAATAATTAATATTAATAAAATAATATTATTAAAAATATTTTTGAATTTAAACTATAAATTAATAAAAATATTGAACAAAATAATACAATGTATATGAAATAATAAAATAGTAAACAATAAAGAATTAATAATTTTATTTATTTTCATATGTATTTATAATTATAAATTATTTTATATCTAATAATTTCTTTTAATAAAAAATTTATTAGGTATTATTAAATTTTATATCTTTATATTTTTATAATATTTCTTTTTTAAAAAAAAAAAAATATAAGAGAGTTAAATTATAAAATTGTCTTAAATATTATAAATTAATAATTATTTAATTAAAAATAAAATAATTCAAATAAAAATCTTAATCAATATATAATACTAAACTTGATAATAAATTTTTATATTATATATGAATTATAAAGATATTTGCTCAAGATATAAAATTTTAATATCTTTAAATTGTTCAAGAAATAAAATATGAAAAAACTTTTAATAATTATTCATAAATTATTTCAATAAATTTAATTAAAAGACAAGTTCTAATAGTTATTTTTATTTAATAAATCTTTAAACTCGTCGTTTTTATTATTTTAATCATCTAAATTATCATATTATTATTAAATCTATTCTTCGAAAAAAAATTGTTAATTATTTTACTATTGAACGTTTGGCATTTGATCAAGTAGTTTATTAAATAAATTATCCTAAAATTCTTATTAGATTATTTAATTTGATATTGTAGACTCATCAAGATTATTAGTCTTATTTTATTTAATCTTTACTTAAACTTTTTATAAACAATTCATTATTTTTATAATATTATTTATATATTCCTTTAAAAAAATTAGATTTTATGGTAAAGCCATTTTTTTTGATAAAATAATTAAATTTTAAAATGAAAATTAAAGTTCATCTTCTTATTATAAATTATTTATTGAAAATTAATAGGTATCATCAATATTTTAAAAAGCTTTTTGATAAGTGCTTTCGAATTTTATGTCTTTTTTCTTTACTTTTGAAAGCATCTATTGTTTTAATAATAAATAAATATATATTCATTTAAGGTATAAATAATTACATTCAATTTCTGTTGTTTCAGTTAAAATTAAATTATGTGAAGTGAATTTTTAAGTAAAGGATATTAGGAAAAACATTGATTATTTGTAAAACATAATCGAATAACTTATAAACAGTCCTATTTTATATATTGTAAAAAATAAATACATATAAATATAAGTATTATAATTATAATAAAAATTAATATTATATATATATATTATTTATTTATTATCTATTTTATATAATAATATATACATTATTATTTTATATATTACTTGTATTTTTTCAATATTTTATTAGTTAAAGATTTAATCATTTACAGTATCAATTTTATCGATAATTTATAGTAATCGCTATAATTAATGTAATATCTTTTTATATTTATCTTATAGAATATTTTTTTAAAAATTATAAATTATACATTTTATATTGTGTACAATTACTATTTTGATAGCTATATTTTTATTGAGTTCTAACAGTTGTCTGTTTCGTTAAATTAGACTATGATTTTGAAAGTAGAGATTGATTATATTAATAAGAAGAATTAATTTAAGATATTTATCTTTGTTTTTTAAATTTTTTTTTTTTTTTGTTTAAAAAAAAACTATTTATATTTTTATTTAAAAAAAAAAAAAAAACTCTTCTTCTTCGTTATCTGCATCATTGTTTGTATAACTAAAGGAACAAATATTATTATTACAATTTTTAATACTTTTTTGACATAAAGGAGTAGTACTAGCAATTGTACTTTTGTTTTTAATAAAAAAATAACAAAATTATTATAAAAATATTAATATATATATATATTATACGTTTATGAATTTTTTAAATATTATTGATTATTCAAGTTTTTTTTAACAAAATTATTAAATTTAGCATTTTATATAGTTATTTCTCTCGGAGTATTAGTCTAATTATCGTTTAAGAATTTTTTCTATAATATATTTTAATTTATAGGAGGATATTCAAAAATAAAAGCATTATTGCTTTTATTGTCAACATTTTTTCGGGTTGTATTTGTAAACTATAAAAATAAAGAAAGAAAAATTATTGATTATATATAAAAAAACTAAATATAAATATGCATAATAAATATTATATACATATATATTTTTTTTACTTTTGATAGTGGCGATAAAGGATGTGATGTAAATCCTGGCGTTTCGTTTTCACATTCACTTTAAAATGATTCTTTTGTTAACTACTAAATACTTTAATCTTAAAAATCTTAAGAAAAATATGATTTATTTTATATTAAACTAGGATATATTAATTATAATTAATCTTGTATTAAATTATAGTAAGATATTTAGTATTTATTTTATTATATTAAATATGATGGATATTGATTATCGAAATCAAAATTAAAATCTTAATTTGATTAAAGTTTTAATATATTTTCTTTATTCTTATTATTTAAAAACTCCATTTTTAAAATATTATATTATATAGGTATTTGAACTTTTTTATTATAATACTTAATTATATTATATTATATTGTATTTTATTTTATTTTACTTTTTTTTTTTTTTTGTGAATAAAAATATTAATTATTTTTATTATTTCTAAGTATATTAATTATTGCTTTTTATAATTTCTTAAATGCAACATAATAAAATTATATATAATATTGTATTATACGAAATTAAATTCTAATAAATTCTGATGAAATTAAAATAATTATAGATTTAAAATTAACTGCTTTTAAAATATAATAGAAATGTTGATTAAAAATCTATTTTTAAATATAAAGATAGGAGTTTTATATTTAATTTTCTCTTTACAATTTTAAATTTAAATGGCATTTTAACAAAAAAAAATATATATATTTTAGTAAAAATTCCATTTAATAATTTATAATATAAATTTAAAGATTTTAAAAACCTATATTAAAAAATATATAAAGAAACTAAAATTAATATTTTAGTTTTAAAAAAAATAATAATAATATTTATATCAATATTTTACTTTTTTTTTTTTTTTTTTTTACAAAATAAATACATATAAATGAGCAAATTTTTAAAAAATCATTTTGCTGCTCCATAAGCTTCTGCCATTCTTTCAATATTATATTTATGAGACTATATAAACATAATAGGTACACCTGGTGTTTTTCTAATTCTTCTTCTTAAGTCTTTATCACAAGTCGCCACAATATATATTCTTTGCTAAAAACGAATAAATATATAAAAATAAAATCAAAATAATTTGAATTACTTATTTAACTCTATTAACTAAACAATCATCTGCGTATGTCCCTTAGTGATCACATTTTAGTTTTTCAAATCTAGGATCTTTCATAAGCCTTTATTTATTTTTAATATTATTATTATTTAATTTTTTACTTTAA